CATATATATAAATGCTCTTAACAAGTATATGTGTGACCAGATTGTTCGAAATGTATTGCGTTAATATATCACATAGATCTGATAATCTTCGTCTTCTAATATCATTATCGAAATAATACATTGGTTTGATTATACACACAACTTTAAATGGCATTCAATGAAGATGTTGGAGTTACTTTGGCTTATATTTGACATCATATTCTGAACTGTTATAGTGCATGAGTATAGTAATCATTGAATTCCATAAACTAAATAATACATTGCAGAAAAAGTAAACATTTCTCCAGTGCGATAAAACTTCATCCGGGAGATTTGACCAATATATACAGATTACAAATCAACGGCTTCCCTATTACTTACGACAAATTTTAAGAATAGACAGTTAGATGAAACAGTGAGACATGTTTTTTAATTTACAACCTGAATACGACGTAAAAATAAAGATTAATAATATCGAGATACTAACAACTAACCATTTCAAACAATCTTCTCTGATGACTATCAGCTACATATAGGTTTACACACTGAGATATGAGTTACATGGAATAGAGGGTGGGTGATGATAGTGACTGACTGTACAAACACCAGTGGGTAACATGTACACAGAGTGAGTAGGAAATCCTCAAACCAATTCAGCTTTAAAAAGAACTGAGCTAAAACAATTACAGAGCAGACTGTGGTCAACATTAACATGACATGTTAGATTTAGGAGCGCAATAAGAATGGCGAATCCAAGATTGAATCCAATGAATATAATGTTTGAGTGGGACTTAGAATTCAAAAACCATATACATGATTATACAATAAATCGGAAGTCATTCATACCGAGTGAAATAGACGGATAAACGATACCAATAGGGAATCAAGGTTTCAACTGACGAATTCTAAAAAATTAGGCTCGCTTAGTTCAAGCGGTCAATTACAATGGAAGAATTACAGTGGGTTTGTGATACAGTATATGATTTCTTTCTTAGTTAAATATAAGACAGTTAATGCGGAATATGTGCAAAATCAAACAATCGGTAAAATCAATAAACGGACGGATGCTAATAAATCAGAATTCAGGAAACAAAAATACTGATGATTTTTATGGATGAATATAAGTACGCCAACGACAGTTTTATTCCTAGTATAGGACTGTGGAGATTGTTAAATTTCATTTAAATCACAAACCAATATAAATTAGACAATCATCGAAAGCTTGTAAACACTGAACAGCTATTTCGTCGTAGTACAGGACTCCAAAGTGGTTGGTATCCAATATCCCACAACCAGGGATCAAACCCACACCCTTCTGTTGCAAGCACTAACAGTTGACCTGTAGACCATTGAGCCGGTATCTAATCGAGTACAAGTCTAACTTTAATCAATCCACGAGAGGAGATTTCTGGAGTTCTGGTCAGAAGCCGTGACCAGTGGAGTTTAACCATATCAGGTATGAGGAAAGTACTTAACAAAGACAATAGGAAAATGGTTGGGCAATATAGTGGATTGATTGAAGTTAGACTTGTACGCGACTAGATGCCGGCTTAGTGATCTACTGTTCGTGCGCCAGACCGAAGGCTGTGGGTTCGATCCTCGGTTGAGAGGTAGTGGATGTACATCACTCAGAAGTCTCGTACTAAGACGAAACAGCTGTCCAGTGTTTACAAGCTCTCAATAGTTTTCTAACTTAGATCGGTTTGTGATTCCAATAAAAATCAACAATGTTTTTGTATAATCAAATGGAAGTTACATTCGCCTTACTTGTCTTCTGTTGAGTATAAATTTTTTGTTATTTATAAGTTGTTTGTGGTTGAACAAAATCTACTAGCTTTTTTCGACAAAAAAAACAAACAAACAGCATTTGTCAATCTAATTCTTTTCATAGGAAGATCAGCTGATACACACATGATAAGTTTTTTCACAAGAATTTGTGCTGATTAGAAATCAGAATTGCAATAGAAACAATTCGAATGACTCAAGAACATTCATAGAATTAATCATCTAAGTAAATTGATTAAACAAAATTGTTTACTCTTGATAACTAGTTTATACTGGGAAAACAAAAACAATGGAGCGTATAGAATTAGGGATTAACAAAACATTATTTGAATTGTAGAATGTAGGATTACTTCGCTTCACACTAAGGACGACTATTAATTTGTTACGCTTCACGACCAGTTCGGAGGGAAATTAACTGTGTTTTGATGTGATGCCTAATTGCTTTATTCACACCTAATAGCATCTGTGATAGCATGTTTGAATCTAAAGTATTCTGTTGTTATTATACTTGAAAAATAAAATATTTTATCTGAGCGATAATTTGTACTGTAATTATCTCATCTTTTAGTCATCAAACTATATCTACATATATACTTACTTCAGCAAGCATCAGCCACGATGTTAAGAGAAAGTCACTAAAATAGCGAAATACAACAGGCGACAGAATAGCCAACGGTAGTAATGGAGCCAAAAAGAAGATAGAGCCAATGTACGCAGAAAACAACAATAGACAGATTCCAATTATACCTCGAATTCCATACAACTTATTAACAGGAAGTTTCGGTGGAACAGGCTGTGGAACACATGAAGAGTAACTACTCTCAGACTTTTCCACAAACGAAACTGGTTCAGATGACGTTGTGCAATTTTCTCGCTGAGACTCATCATCTGGAATCACATTAACAGCACCTGACATTTGAAGAATTCTCTCTCTAAAATAGAATAATAGCAGTATGAAGTATGCACAGTAAATAAAAAGTGGGAAAAGATAATTGTTTTGTTTTCAGACATTTATTGTTGACAATTAGTTACAATTAAAAAATCAAGCAGTAAAAACGAGTGTACATGTAAGCAGAACAAAATATATAAATAAAAGTGTGGGAAAGTGATGAAGTTACAGTATGTTCATTACAAAGATTTTATAAAAATGGATATCAATCAAAAGTTTATCCTGACGAAAGCATAATAAGAAATACAATAAAGTAGGATGAAAATACACTCAGATGAAAAAACAAGTTGGTAAGTTCAGTTTTCTACTAAAAAGCATGTTTAAAATCACTGCTTTTAAAAAGTGTACTCAATTTGTTAACTATCCCAAAAGCTCATGATAGGTTAAGATTCTCCACTGAATCCAAATTACCTAGTAGTTTTTCAACACTATTTCTCTATTTTACCACTGACCTTTATAATACTGATGAGGTCATTTTAACAAATATGGGTAATTAAGTTTAGCCAAATAAAAGCTTACACCACTAATATCACCGGTCATTTTCAGACAAAATGGATGTCTTCCATAATAAACCCCATTTTCAAATAAAGAAAATACTAGTAACTGACGTGTACGAAACAAATCCCATCACAACTTTTACTTTTGGTCTATTGCAATTGCAATTCCTTTTTGTTGGCGACATGTTCTGACAGTCACGGTCAAGTAGTCGATGAGATTACAATAACTGAGGCTAAACAAATTTTATTAATATTATCTTTATGCATTTAGTTATTGATAGTTATCTAATCCTCGAAATAGTAATCCAAGTCGGCATTGCTCCTCATCAATTATTTAGTTTTTAACCTGTGTAAAAAGTAATCCCCATGTTTACAAATGACCTGATAAATAATAATGTTCGGTAAGCAACAATGAACCATTTATAGGCTGGTTGCTGCAAAATCTGACCATCGATATAAATATATAGGAATTAATTAAGTAATTTAGAAGCGAAATAACAAGTATTTGGACATTTTCCTAATAAGATCTTGCCACTAAATGCTATGGTACGGATGAGGGTGGAGAGAGTTAGCTTTTCCTCTCGAAATACTTTCACATGGCCACGCGTATACAGCCACTGTCAGGAAAGCCCTACACACTGCTTTCTCGCGGCACCGGTGTTGTTACAAAACTGAGAGGATGAAAAGCGAATGTCCAGCGCTTTAACCAGCTTGGCGGAAACGATGAGTCCACCTAGGGGAGTTGGAAAACCCTGATCCAAAATAAAATGATCCACGTGGGCTCCAATATACTGAAGGAACAAATGGCGTATGTACCAATTGTTGGTCACCGGCTATCATGGGACTGCATCTCCTGACGTTGCTCCACGGCCTTGTGGATCAGACTTCATGGTCGAAGGCTCCGAGTGTGACCCCCTTAGAAAATCACCTGCTTCGGTTTAGGCACCCGGGCAGTATCACAGCCCACACACGAATCAAGTGACTTGTGTGGTTTATATGTATTCGGTGCCCCTTTGCATCAATGTGTCCAAATAAATAAAAATAAATAAATAAATAAATAAAAGAAGATAACTCATAAATAGAACAACACATATAAGCGAACAATTGTTTTCAATTAGATCGTCATCAGGCTTTACTCTAATATACATGAATATTTATACGAAAATTTTAAACCAATCAAGGCAATATGGGTCAATAATCACAATGAAATAGAATAAGTCTCTCATAAATAGATTATTGTTCAAAACCAATCTTATTATTTGGTAATTTCTGGCAGGAAAAAGTAAAAATGAAACTCAGTTACATTTTTTTAGTCGAATCAGTTGTTGATTTGGCAAATTATATACATGCATTAAGTTATTTGTCAATCAGTGCCAATCACTTCCAGTTCAATGAGGTCAAATTTAACCATTGATCAAATACTTAAAAACGCTGCGAATTTCCTTTTAATTTTTGATGTCAGTTTGATCAGATGAAAGTCGATTGTAAGTCAGTGGTGGAACCAGTAATTGATGTACAAATAATTCTTCATTTACAGTCCTGCTTTTTTCCTTAATTGAGACATACCCGTCCTGTTATGAAGTAACGAATACCAAATGGAAGTTTTTTCCGCAGTCATAAGAAATAGCAATATCAGTAGCAGTACAAAAGTTTCACTGTAAGACTACTAAATTTTTAAATACTATTGACTTGCCCTACACAATAGTTAGTTCTCCAGTGGTTTAGTTCTACCTAGAACACTCCCGAACGACCAGTCTAACATCTAATGACGTTCACATCCACATGTGAAAGGTGCTTCAAAGTCAGAGTTGGAACATTCATAACTATGTTGCTTTCTGATTACAACACATATTTCACGTGCATACAGTAAAGCTTATTTGCATCAATACATAGTATAATTATCACTTTACAAACAGGCAGTTTAACGTAGCTTTGCAATGAAGTAACTACAAGATCATTCGATAAGACTCATCCTTATCATTATTTGAGTTATAGTCAATAAACTCATTAGAGAGTCAAACAATAGTTCAGCCTTTCTAAATTTTCAAAAAAATATTGGGAAGATTTGAGAATTTTAACATAACTAAGTTGAGAAGCATGTATTCTACCGGCCCACATATTGAACCATGATAACCGATCACCGAATACCGTGAATTGCTGCGGACTAAAAGGTTAGTTACAAATACACTATCTAAATACAATACGCTTTCCCCAGACCACGAAAGATTAATAGAAATGAAAGACAAAAAATGCTCAAGGTTTAACAATTATAGCATTGCGTTATTAGAATAAGATATCTACACTTAGTACTGAGTTGAATTAAAAAACAAGTAAAATAAATAGTGATGAAAATTGAATGACTACTTCCGAACAGAATAAACATGTCTCGAAGAATGGTGAGGATTTCTTGAATTCTTCCGATTTTTGCCATCTGAATATAGGTTTTCAACAGGCTAAACAGCTTCGACGGTATTAATCTACAAATACCAAGGCGTGAAGAATGCTAAGTAGCTGTTACCCTTACTCTGAGCTACAAGTCTTCCACCATTGCAAAACTAAGGTTCAAATTTTTAAAAAATATATCCAGGGTAAAAAATTGAAGATTACAAACATGATATTTTACAATACAGAACGACTTGCCAAAGCACCTCGCGACAGTGAGAAATTAAGAGCATAAATATAAAATTCGAATTATCTTTACAAACACTGTTGAAGTTCCATGGATTAAATTACTACAAAGTTTTATTTTGAACCTGGTTTCCGAACAGGTGCGCAGTCATGTACTCCACGTACAACTTTATGTTTCACTCCGATAAGGTCTTGTGTGCGACCACCACGAACTAAAATAATATTATGTTCCTGTAAATTATGACCTTCACCAGGAATATGAGCTGTGATTTCACGACCATCAGTTAAACGGACACGTACACATTTTCTGTTAGCACTATTTGGTTTCTTGGGTTTACGTATAAAAGTTTTTAGCACAATCCCTTTTATGAATGGCTTCGCGTTCATCGCTTTATTTGGGGGACGCTTCTTTTGAAATGGACCACAAATGGCCATTTGAGCCAAAGTAGCTAGATTAACGGTTGGAGACATCCCAAGTGGTGAAAAGCAGTTTTTCGATGCAACTGGTAAAGATAATCCATTATTTATACACTTGAGGCCAACTGAAACAAAGGACCAATTCAACAGTTGTTTGTAGAAGGAACCTATAGTAAAAAATAATTAGCATGCTGTGAGATGTAAGAGTATAGGTGCATAAATATAATTAAGATTAAAGGCTTTACCGAGCTGATAAAATGTCTGTGTCTATATAAAGCACGACCAGCTTACACCACATTTAATTCAAATCAGATATACCCCATTTCATATCGGAGTGGATAAAGTGCATTACTGCACGGTTGAGATCTAGTTCATGCAGGTATATGAGGTAGAATATTTAGTCACTTAAGATTTTGCGCCATCGCCCAAATCCAATTACACTATGAGAAGAGAAATGTAGAGATTATGTTATTTATTTTATTTACCTATTTGAACACATAAATATTGGTACAAGAGGGCAACAAATATATATGCGCCACACAAAACAATGAGAATTCGAAGAGAAAGAAAAAAAGGTAAGGAGCGTAAAAGAAAAAACAATAACGAACAGATTAGTGTAAGGTAGTGTAATAACAATTATAATAGTAATAGTGGACGAAACAGGAAGGTACAACGAGAAAAAATCTTTCAGTTAAGAAAAAAGCAAACACTTTTTATGAAGAAAGTAAAAGAAGGTTACAGCAGGATCGCCACTGGCTTCTATTCTGAGCCATATCTGATAACGTCTCTAGCCTCTCTTGACTTAAAAGCAGCATTTGACTCGGTAGACCGCGAGATTCTGTGGCAGTGTCTGTCATTGAAAGGCGTACCTCAGAAGTACATAAACCTTGTGAAGGCTCTTTACTCGAACACTACCAGTCGAGTCAGAGCTTATGATGAACCGTCATCTGATGTCGCAAGTACAACTGGTGTCCGTCAAGGCTGTCCACTTTCTCCATTTCTGTTTAACTTCATCATAGACCTACTGATGGAAATAACATTCTCGTCGACTGAATTCTCGGGTATCGATCTCCTACCAGGAAGTCCACTCATCGACTTAGAACACGCGTCGACAACTTCACTTATCTTGGAAGTCTGATCAGCCCTAATGGGTTGGTATCGGACGCAATCTCAGCACGGATTCGAATAGCTCGTTTGGCTTTTGCCAACTTACGTCACCTATGGCGAAGGCGAGAAATCCGTCTATCAATAAAAGGACGGGTATACTGCGCGGCAGTCCGTTCTGTTTTACTTTACGGCAGCGAAACACGGCCTTTAAGAGTAGAAGACACTCGTAAGCTACTAGTATTTGACCACAGATGCCTTAGAAATATTGCTGGCGTCTGTTGGGATCACCGGGTAAGTAATAGTGAGGTTAGACGCAGGGTATTAGGTAATGATGGTAAATCAGTTGATGAGGTTGTTATTCTTCATCGACTGAGATGGTTGGGCCACGTGTTACGTATGCCTGAACACCGATTACCACGTCCTGCAATGTTAACGGTTGTTAGAGATGGTTGGAAGAGAATTAGGGGCTGTCAAACCAAAACGTGGCATCAGTGTTTGAAGACACTAACCTCTAGTCTGAGCCATGTTGGTAGATGCAGACTACCTGGTTGGCGTCCGCGCGACTATCATAATCAGTGGTTAGAAACTCTGGGTGACATGGCTCAGACTCGATCACAGTGGTGTAGGTGTATACACTCCCTGTCTTCCCTTAAACTAAGAGATTAAAATCACTTCATATCTTTCTTTCTACTAACTAATTCTTTCTTCCTGTACTGTATCCTTATATGCAATCTTTCTTTTATATATTACCACCATTGACTTAACCACTCCTATGAATCCGGTGTTCATCTTGCTGTGCTAATGCGGTATGGCAACCTGGACCGATGCATATATGTGTCTGGTCCTACGTTGTAGCTGACTGACTGACTGACTGACGTCTCTAGCCACAGTGTAGCACCATCTCTCGAACCCCAGCCAGGGAGTCGTGAAGAACCGTGTTGTGGCGGCAGCTAACCAATATGTTAAGGGTAATGTCCTTAATATCTGACTCCAAATAATAATATTCCGTAACTGAGTATTTAAGGTAGGCTTAATCTCCTAGTAGAATTACGGATTTACTCGAGATTATTAAGAAGCCTGAACACCAGTTATGGAGATAGTTTATTATTAATGAATAATGATAATCCACAAGCGTATTGTGAGCAAGCACACGATGGGAACAGAGAGAGTGAGTGAGTTTGTTAAAAATCCATATATATTTTAGGGTTAATCGGGTGTAGATAAATTATCGATTATCTGCACGTTGAAACCAATAGGAAAATAGTTTAAAAGTTAATGTACAGACATGCATTCGATCATACACACCGAAATTAACATAGTGAATTAAGAGTCTAAGTTACAATGAATAGACAGATGATACAGTGGCCAAATGGGCTTGCCACATAAGCTCCCATCCAGAACATTGATGTTTTTATGTACCAAAAAAAAAAAATTGGATTAACATCTATGTTCGACAAAGAGATAAAGAACGGAACTGTTTTTAAAATAAAAGTACAACTCAATATGATGAGTAAGCGTAAAATTGTAATAACAGCTTGTGTGTTAAAACGTTTCATATCATGTATATACAAGTGTATATTTAACATTAATGAATTGTATAAAGTTAAAATATAAGCATAATGATGATCCGTGGGGCCAATAAAAAAAAATAGTAATCAAAATAAAGTAGGATTTTTATGTGTTATAAGAGTAGTCTCAGGATTTGGTCTAGATAAATATGGTGGTTGCTACATACCTATCTGGCCAATGTACTCTTCTTCCTGATCTTGTTGTAGTTTGTGCTGCTGCTGAACTTTGATTTGAAGTGTTGCTTGTTGCAGGTAGTTTGAATGGTGCTTGCTCTGCTGCAGGTTTAGACGGTTTTACAGTTGTCTGTTTTTTCTCGAAAATATTTCGTCTCATACCGTAAGGTACAAAAGGGCGAGTTTTACCTGTTGAGGTATCACAAGTTAAGGTGTCCTTGTTGTTTATGGGGATGTTTTGGAATAATAATTTCGTTTCCTTAGACTGCAAAAGCTTTTGTAGCTCCGTATCGAGCTTTTGATGCTTTGCCATTTCTTGATAGTCTATATCAGGGATCGAGAAGGTATTGATATTTAATCTCGATAGTGCATCTGCTGCCTCATTTGCATTGCCTTTAATATAGCGTATATCAGCTGCAAATTGTGAAATGAATTCTAGTTGACGAATTTCGCGCGGACTATATTTATCATGATTGTGCATCAAGGACTTAGTTAGGGGTTTGTGATCAGTATATATCGTGAAAGAATTGCCTTCTAACATGTAGCGAAAGTGTTTGATGGCTAAGTAGATAGCCAACAGTTCTCTACCGAATGTGCTATATTTCGTTTGCGTTGCGTTTAGCTTTTTTGAGAAAAATGCAAGGGGTTGCCATTGTTCATTGACACGTTGCTGAAGTACAGCACCTACTGCTACGTTAGAAGCGTCGGTCATTATTGCTAAAGGTGCATCAACCTTTCGTCGTGCGAGTAATGCCTCTGTGCTTAAAGCGCTTTTCAACTGATCAAATGCTTGAATTGCTTGCGGTGTCATTGCTAATGATTTAGCTCGTCCCCTTAATAAATCAGTTAGTGGTTTTGCTATGTCTGCGCATTTAGGGATAAAGCGTCTGTAAAAGTTTATCATCCCAAGGAAACGTCGTAGTTTCTTGAATGAATCAGGCAAAGGATAATTTTTGATAGCTTGTGTTTCCTCAGGAACTGGTTTAATGCCTTGCTTATCAAGTACGTGACCTAAAAAGGTGAGGGATTGTTTTCCGAACTCACATTTGTCAGGATTGACCGCTAACCCATACTCGTTTAGCTTCTCAAAAAGCATTTTCAGATGAGTTAGATGTTCATTTTCATCTTTGCTTGCTATAAGTAGGTCATCTATGTAAGCATACACAAACGGTAAGCCCCGTACCACTTGGTCAATAAAACGCTGGAAACTTTGTGCAGCATTCCTTAATCCGAAAGGCATGCGGACGAATTCGTATAGTCCAAAGGGGGTAGTAATGGCTGTTTTAGGAACATCGTCCGGATGAATTGGAATGTGATGGTAAGCACGGACGAGATCAATTTTTGAAAAGATCGACACGTCAGACAGGCTATGAGTGAAGTCATGCAGATGTGGGAGAGGATATCTATCTGGTATGGTCCGGCTGTTGAGAGCTCTATAGTCACCGCACGGTCTAACTTCGGAAGAGTTTTTCTTAGGTACCATATGAAGCGGTGATGCCCACGGACTATCGGAGGGGCGTATGATGCCCAACTCAATCATTTTGTTGAATTCGTTCTTTGCGATAGCCAGACGAGAGGGATCAAGGCGTCTTGGACGTGCGAACACAGGTGGACCCTCTGTCTTTATGTGGTGTACGACGGTATGCGTCGGTTTGTCGTGTTTGAAACTCGGTCGTAATAAATCTGGAAACTGATTAAGTAAATTGACGTATTTGTCGTTCTCATGATGAGGTTTAACTAATAAATGTATGGAAGTCTCATTTGATATAATTCCTCTAATTTCCTTACTCTGTTCGGCAAGGACAAGTTTCCTATTTCTGACATCTACCAGTATTTTGTGGAATTGCAGAAAATCAATGCCGATTATAGGAACGAGGACGTCCGCTATGATGAAACTCCAGGAAAAATTAGATTTAGGACCGAAATTTAATTGCAACCGCCTTTTGCCGTACGTCTTGATGTCAGACCTGTTTGCTGCTTGTAGTTTTAGTTTGGGGTCAGGTGTGTTTTTCTCGAGTGCAGTAGGTGGTACTACACTAACCTCTGCCCCAGTGTCGACTAAAAACTGTGTGCCGGTTCTTTTGTCTGTAACATATAATAGACGACTGTCTTGAAAGTTGTGGTCAGTGAGTGCAGTCGTCATTAACCTACGGTCTTGACGTTCCTTTTTCTGTGTGCTTGCAAAGTTACAAGGCGGAGTACATTTTCTAGCTTGTTTGCCATATGTTCTATGGTACCAGCAAATGTTGTGTCTAGTAGTGCTTGGACTACGTCGTCTACGGCTTGTGGATGTTCCTCTACGCTTGCTGTGGGAGGCA